GCACAATTTAAGAACAAATCTGTGCGTACGAACGGTTCTTGCATGAGGCCCATTGATCCGACAGGGAAGTGAAGACAAGACACAGAATATAAAGGTGAGATTAACGAGCACAAACAGGAAACACTTGGGGGAGAACATGAGGACCAGGTGTGAGTGGGCGGGGCTGGAGCAAGGCAGACAGGAGGATGAAGACAGATGACAAGACAGAAAACTAGAACAAAACATCAACACAGACACTAATCATAACACAACTGTAGTCACAGGAACATCAAGCTGCTTGGAGATGTTCTTATAACCTTTACCTTTAACATGCTTGTGTATAATTTTCTTTCTAATCTCCTGAGGCAACTCTTTCCTTGTCTTCCTCTGGTCCATGTTGAGTGTGGTCCACACCATGTCACCAAACAGCACAGTGAGTATCTGTAGCTCTATATACAGACCCACTGATGACTAGACTGTAGACACCTGTGATGATAATTAGAGGACACACCTTGATTTAACATGACCCTTTGGTCACATTATTTTCAGGGGTACCATCATTTCTGTCCAGACCTGTTTGATGAGTTTTATTTTATTCTGTTGAAGCATGGCTGAAAAGCAATGTCTGACTTTAATTTGTTCATTTTTGTAGAATTTTTTTAATTATTACTTACATCAGATTTTAGTTATTTCTGTGACCACTGTGGGTTTTTATTTCATTAAATGAGGGGTACCAAAATTTTTGTCCACACGTGTTTGTCTGCTTAGTTTCACATTTGTTGTACAAAGAAAAGGCTCTCAGTAAAATGCATGCACAGTTTGATACATCTAAATATTTCTGTGAATATGCACTTTTTCTGTTTGGTCTTATGCTAACTTGGAGTATGAAAGCTGCACACCTGTTGACATATGAAGCCCRACATTTTCATGCTGTTAGTTACTTCATGCAGTGGTTGGCAGCACTAATCTAAAAATTAGTTCCACCAGCCCTAAAACACTAACTCAAATATTTAGGTCCCCTAATTCTAAAGCACTACCTCAAATATTTAGGTCCCCTAATTCTAAAGRACTACCTCAAATATTTAGGTCCCCTAATTCTAAAGCACTGACACACTGAAAATTTTAGCAAAAGCTAATTCTAAAGCACTAAAATAACCCAATCAACCCATGAACACTCTTCAACAGACAATATAAGTCATATATTGTCATGTTGTTGTCTTAAGACTTATCATTGACATTCCACAGCTGTATTTGATTTCATGTTTTGTCAACATATTGTCACCTGGTGGATAAGTGACACACGTTTGAACAAAATGTGTGACAGCTTTCACCCTCAGCTGTTAACATTAATGT